TAAACAGCAATATATAACTTTGTGGTGTATATACACTTGAGTAGTAAGAAAAAATGGCACTATCGCAGCTCCCAGCAGGCTCCCAAAGCTCTAATTCGCTATTCAGCGTACTAGAGATCGCCAAAGAGCCCTTAATCTCAGTCCCACAATGTTACGTGCGTTTGGAACAAGAGCCAACTCCATCTGAACTCTCTGATAGTCATAAGGGCACCTTCCCTTCTATCCCTACTATCGATATGACGAAATTTGTTAACGGAGAAACCTCAGACTTTGCAAGTCAACTAGAAAAACTGCACTCAACTTGCAAAGATTGGGGCATTTTTCAGGTCTAATACTGATCTCTCAAATTTATTGAACTTAAATACTTTTTTCTTAATATGGACACGGATTAGTATGCACTTAATTGTTATATATATCTCCTCAAGACAAGCTAGTATCATTTGGAATTACATGAATTTAATATCCGATGAACTAAATAAATATGAAAGATTTCATAGTTAAGCATAGCTAGTTAGATATATTGTCTTGTTTTATACGGCCTTTATCTTTTTACTTTCTATTATATGTCTACAATTTATCAAAATAAAGTTGACATAACCATGATATTGTTATTTTTTTTATTTATTTACAGTTGGTGAACCATGGAGTTAGCCCTATGCTGTTAGAGAAGCTGAAACATGAGGTTCAAGTGTTCTTTAAGCTTCCCTTGGAAGAGAAAATGAAATATACAATAAGATCAGGTGATTTTGAAGGGTATGGAAACATAGTCAAGACCAAAGACCAAAAGCTTGACTGGGGTGATAGGTTCTATATGATAACCAACCCTATTCATCGAAGAAATCCGTACCTCTTCGCGGAGCTCCCTTCTTCCCTCAGGTCCTTTCTCTGATAAATCTTAAGCACCCGTTTAACCATTTTCACTTTTCATTTTTTTAATTTTCAAAAAAAGTGAAAACGAAAGCTGAAAACCAAAATAAAAATGGTTGTGAAACGACCCTAAACTTGTATGCAATTGTTGTCTCACTTATTCAAACACATGCGCACCCAGTTTTTATGATTTTTTAAATTAACATGTTTTCTTGGTATATACTAGGAATACCTTGGAGTCATACTTTATGGAATTGGATCAACTTGCTATGAGACTTCTTGGGTTTATGGCGAAGGCTCTGAAGATAGAGATGAGTGAGATAGAGGAGTTGTTTGATAAAGATGGGGTGCAATCAGTGAGGATGACATACTATCCTCCATGTCCACAACCAGAGCTGGTTGTAGGGCTCACACCTCACTCGGATGCAACTGGGATCACCATCCTCAACCAGCTTAATGGAGACGGTCTCCAAATTAAAAAAGACGGGGTTTGGATGCCTGTCAACTTCCATAAAGATGCTTTTGTGGTGAATGTAGGGGACATCTTTGAGGTTCGTCTTATATATTCGATTAATCCTATACTCATCACATTTTTCACATTACATTTGTACCACATCTCTAATAGAGGATATGTTAAAAGTAGCATTTTTGTATATATTCTTCTTTCCTCACCCTTCATTTCTGCCCTATATATTCAACCACAAAGTAGTAAAAGATGATAAATGAAAGAGAAAAAGACTACTAAAGCTAACAAACGTGGGATTTTGAATCTCTATACATTCATGTTGGAGTTAATGAAATGAAGTTGTCTATTACTTTAGTATGTACAAGTACTCGGTGCGGTCACATATTTGATCTTTGAATTTGATTCAACAACCTAACTTAATGAAGGAGAATTGTCAGATGAAATTCAACAGTTAAATATGTGTATATATTTTGATACTAAAAAGCATCGGTGAAACTAGAGGGCACAAATCAGGATAAGCCAGCTGAAAGAAAAGTTGAGATTTGCATGTACTAGCTTTATCAATATTATTGAATTGGTATGTAGAATGAACAAACCACCGTACGTGGAACCTTTTACCAATGGTTTGAAACTGTTGAGTTCGATCAATTAACAATAAAATAAAAACTTTAATCTATCTTATTACTATAGTAGTAGGACAATACTTGGGTTCACGTCATAGGTTAAATCATTCTTCTTTCGATGGCAACATGTAATCAATGGTGGAGCCACTTTAAGGCCATTGTCCTGAATTTTTTTTTCTTATAAACCTCTACTACCATTGATCAATTTTATAATGCCACTTTTAACTTGAATTTGTTTTGTATTGGTTAGTCAAATTAACTTTATCCAAAAAATATAAAGCCTTAATTTTTTTACATCAGAAGTTCAAAACTACAATTCTATAATGATATTAGTTGATCATATTCTCTGTTTCTTTCTTATATACATTTTTTTTTCCTTTGCTTGCAGACTATTATTTTGATTAATTTCTCATTTTCCTCTATTATATCATTTATGAAATCAAGAAGAGAAAAAGTTTGTTTATGTCAAAAAAAAGAAAGAAAAAAAAACCTTCCAAATTCTCTTATGCCTTATGTTTTTACGAAGGAATGTTTGGTCACTCACATTTGAATTTAATATCAAGAATGAACCATAAATGGATGTGCTTTTAATGTTTTATTCTCAACCCTTGATATCAAGTTGAATTGTTGGTCACCAAATGACTAAAAGAACGAGACTACGTTTCTATATGTATTATGCTGATTTTAGTCTGAAGTGTGCCCCTCTTAACAGGAATTTTTGGCTCCACCATTGCATATAATTGTTTCACTGTATAACTGCCACGTTGTTACTGAAGAAGGAATAACTCTTATATGTAATAAGGAGCCAAACCGTTTGTGTTACTTATTCATTTATGTTATCATATTGCATTTAATCATGAAGAAAAATTTTTACTGTGCCGAAAATATGGCCCGGTAAACCAAGTATCATAATACAAATGGTTTTTTAAGTATTTAACCACTTGTATTATGAGACTTAGTATACCAAGCTTTGTTCCTGGCACACAGAAAAACATGTCCAGATCATACTAAGGAAAATTTATATTACATTTGAAGAAAAGAGAGATTAAATTAGCATATGAATTGTTATTGACACTTTCAAAATATCATCGAACACTCCTCACAAGAATATTTTTCTTTCTAAAAATAGAAAGTTTGAAGTACACATGAAATTCTTGAAGTGCAAATAACAATTCTCTTAATTTATTTTAAGTAGTATAATTTCTCTTGAACTTGAAATTAAAGGTGTGTAAATGTATGCAGATGCTGAGCAACAGAGTGTACAAAAGCATTGAACACAGGGTAATGGTGAATTCAGAGAAGGAAAGGGTGTCGGTTGCGATGTTCTTCGTCCCTAAATATGAGGCAGAGATTGGGCCACTCAGAAGCTTGGTATCCCCCCAAAACCCACCACTGTTCAAAAGGATTGGGACGGAAAAGTACGTGAACGATTTCTTCTCCCGCCGTAGGCTTGATGGAAAATCGTACTTGGAGCAGATGAAAATCCAAAATGTTTGACTAATGGCTGATCGATCCTATCGATTAGTCATTCATCAAGATATATAGTACTATATGGTGTGACAATAATTAAAGTTGTGCATGTATATTGTATATGCATATGCTTTTCCAAATGAGTGGGGTATTTGATTATAATGTGCCTACATTTCCTATGTTTCAAGCATGCATGCATGCATGTTATAGCTCCTATTTGGTATGTTGTGTATAATATATGCTTTTGTAAAATTCAAAAAGGAAATAAAATATGTGTTGTTTTTTGTGATGAGTATTGTTCATACAATGGTGCTAGCACTCAAGCGCCAACTAGGTTGTAACTTAGTACAGTGTTATTTACTTGTTTATTCTTGCTTAACAATATTTTTCATCATCCAACCCAATATTTTTTAGGTTTTCATTAAATGATCATCCTTGTAAAACTTCATTGAAATTAGAAGACGTTTAGTTATCAAATTGTCAAATGCTCGTAATAATAACTCAAGGGTTAGATAATTTTCGATTCGATTGAATTTTGCAGGATGGCATACGAATTCATAAAAGACCTAAGGAACAATTTGGATCATGAGATTACCTTATAGAGCGGGCTTAAAGAAGTGGTTTGGACCGTATTAATTAGTTACTAATCAGTAAACACTTGAATACATTCTTCTAATTTTTTTATTGTTTCTTTCTAGTATACCTCTTACTCGAGCTTAAGGGGTTTATAAATTTGTTTTTTACGTTTATGAGAGGCCCCTCCTCGCATAAAATTTCTGACTCTGTCACGGCACATTTTTGTACAAAACGAAACCCAGCGCGACTTCGACTTCAAGTACATCCAGTTCTTCGTGTATGTTAGTTATGTGAAGGTTGTTTGGACTTCAGGATGCAAGCAGAACAATTTGTAGGAGGTGTAAACAACTAAACGAACTGAGTCATATCGTACTCATCCATCGTACTACATTCACATCTTAAACTGAAAATTTGAAGTCGAGCTTAAAATCTGTAATCGTAAACATATGAGGCCGGCAGAGAGCAAACATTAGTCAGAAGTTACTCTGGAAGCTAGCATAGATTGCTGTTTTTGCAGTTGGAAAGCATTAAGCACTACCAAGAACAGTACTATACACATCAGGCTATGTATTTATTCTTGGCAGCTCTCCCAAGTCTCATCGCATCCTCCTGCAAAAACCGGAGCGTATAGGGCATTATTTATTTATGAGGCCTCCAACTTAACAGGAAACTGAATAGAATAACGAACAATATACGTAAGAAACAACATCCTTACATGAAATATGAACCCAGTAGTTTCATTGTAGTCCAGAAACCCCTTCCATTGTTTCCCAATGCTCACCTGCAGCAAGAAAGTGGATGTGAGACATCATTGCAACCTTCTTTACTAGAATGCACTCACTGCTATAAATACAAATAAGTGCATGTAATTTGACGGCGCCATTTTCTCAAAGAAAGACCTGTTCCCACCCTTCGGTGTTTGGACCAGGCAATAAGTCTGGCTCAACAAATTTAAGTTATGTACAAAACTGATTCCTAGAAACTATTTGGCCCAAGTGGCCAAGTAGCTAACTTCTGGCTTTATTGAAAGAGACCTTCTATTTGACTAAAGAGGAGAGCAGTTGAATCGCCAAGGGTCTTGATGGATTTAGGGACAGAAATTGATCAACATAACGAATAATTCTTTCTTTCTTCCTAAATAGACAGGAAATCTTTCCTTCCGCTAAAGTAACAAACCCAAAATGTGATGCTGTGAAAATTCTATCTAATGATACAAAACTTTTAAAATTTTGAACTTTCATGTATGTAATGTGCCTTCGTGCATTACACAACATACAGGGAGTCAAGCAGCAATTACCTGAGCAGCTTCATTTGTTGCATTCTTGGTCCAAAGAGCTATTTTTTCTTGGCTTTTTCTGACATTGACAACTGCTCCACAGATTTCATCTCCATGATCAAACTGTTCTCCTATCATTGCTAGCAACTGGTACCAGAAAATACAAAACAATTAGAGGCCACGCACGCACACACATATGCATACATATGCATGCATATATATATCAATTTACCCACCCTCAAATACTACTTTCAGTTTAGAACATACCGTATACAACCAAGAGGTATCAGATTTCCCCCTAGGATAAGCAACAGTCCAGGTTCCTCCATTAGCACACACAGGATCCTCCCACTTTGGCTCAATTTTGTATTTGAAACAATGGAAATCCGTCCCCACAATGAGCTTGCTCGGATGACGTACATTGTTGTAAATGCTGAATGCAAAACAGATATTATGAGCAAATTTGAGTCACCATCAAGAAAAGAGGAACAGCGGCAGACAGCAAGCACAACTGCTGGATAATTCGTGCAGTTCCATACAAGTAATTCTCATTACATACAGCTTTTTTAGATAACAACTTTGGATTTAGGTTTCTTTATGAAAAAGGAACAAAAGAGTTTGTCCACGCATACAGTTTATTAGCTCAAAAGAAATACTACCATGCTTGCTTAAATAACATTACTTGGACCAAAAACATCCACACTGATGCATATCGAAGCATTCCAAAGATCTAAGGTAACCCCTTCTAGCAAATTATTTTGATGTTGTTTGTGAAATCAACACATGGATGTAGAAATAGACACATTCAATTCCCCTAATCAACTAGGAGTGAACCCAATGAAATATGATTCATTATAATGAGTCGTGACAAATCGGGGAACCTCTAAAATATCAGTAACACGAGAAGATTAATAGGACAACAGGAAATCAAGAAACAAATGCAACACCAGATTGAACACATGATTTTAAGGGCTAACCATTTTGAGATCTCACTAATCCTGGCAGCACTCATTATTGCAAAATCATCAACGATGCTACAGAAGAGACGCAAGCAGCCGAAATCGACACAAACACCCCAAAACATGTATCTCAAACAGAACGGAGTAACAAATTTACATAACATACAAGAAAAGAAACGAAAACATTGCGGATACTAAGAAAATCTCGAACCTCCATGTGTTATCACAAACTACAGCAAAATCTCGAACCTCCATGGAAAACAATAGAAACCAAAATCTCGAACTTTAACAATGGAGAATGCAAATCATCACTCTAAATCACAGAGCATTCCCGTGAGTTTCATAGTTTCCAATTTCTAGGTTTGCAATCGATACAAAACCAAATCCATTTCCTTTACCAAAAAATGGCCAAATTTGTTTTATCACAAACTACAGCAAGCACATAACAAACGCAAAAGATTCAATCTTTTCTCAGTTTTCCTACCAACCCAACAAAATTAAACCCAAAACCACAGGAAATGAAAGAAATTAACCTCCAGAACTCCTCGACGGTAGTGAAGGTGTAGATCGGGCGGATGGAGCTGCCCCAATCCTCCTGCTTGGACTTGGCGGGCTTTGCGGCAGGGCTATCGAACCAGAAGGTCCAGGAGTGCTCCAGGGCGTGAGACTGCGGCGCAATTCCCTTCGAAGGCTTCGACGACGCCGAGTCTTGGTCGCCGACGATCTCTCCTTCTTCGGGCTCGTCGTCATCCTCCCTCGGCTTAGCGTTCGCCTCGGTCTTGGCCTGATCTTCTGAAGCTGAAGTCTTGGGTGCGTCTTCGACCACCATCGTTAGGGTTTGCGGAGGAGTTTCTTGCTGTCTCTTCTTTCCCGACGTTCCTTTGTGCCAAATGTGAAAGAGTTGCGTTTTTTTGTTAGGGTGATGCTAGGGCGACGTCGGTAGTTGTTGAAGGTTGGATTGTTAATTAAGGGTTAATTAATGTAATTAAATTATTATTTAAGTATTAATTAATATATTTAATTTTTATTGATAATACATTATTTAATTTGTAAATTTAATCTATTTAGTATTATTCTAACACTCGATAAATTTTTCTTATCTTATATTTATGTTTCATCGCATGGCTAAGTTTTAATGGTTAACACATGTTCGATAATTAGATGATCTGTAGCTCAGTTTTCTTTCCAAATTTCTTCTAGAACTAATTTCGTATACTTTCCTTCCGGCCACGCGTTTCTGTTTATTTATATTTCTTAAAAAAATTTAATTTAATTAAAAATAATTAGGTTTGTAATAAAATTATACACAATTTGGACTACCGTACCAGTAGGTCCGTTGGGCCGAGGACACATGGCAAACAGTTGTGGAACCAGAAATTTACCACATTAGAACCATAAAATAGAAGATTCCAAAAATTGATCATTTGTTTACTTATAATTGCCAATTTATAATTTTTCTGTAAAAAATTAATTCCAAATCAATCAATCAATACAAAAAATTTAAAAACCCCAATAAACCTAAGATGAGAAAAATACTGAAGATTGGAGTTCCGTGATGTAACCAAATGTGTTGAAGAGTGCATGATCAAACTTGAATACAAAAGAAGCTTTGAATTAAGAGATATGAAGTCTGGATGAAAACGGCGTTGGCGTATTTGATAAATCTTCAGATTGTTTTGAGAATTGGTGTGCAAAACTTTTCTTTTAAATGAAACAGAACAAAACTAACGCATAGGGGTAAAACGAAATTGCAAAGAGGGAATATAACATTATTGGGTCAACAGCAGCCAATACCCCATATTGGCTCCAGCACTCTAGAGCGGGGTGCGCTGGAACTTCTTTGGTCATCCGGACCCAAGAATTTCTCCGAGTCGTCGAGCCATCAGATTTAAAAGTTGAATCTAAGAATTTCTCCGAGTCGTCACAGCCATCATACTTAAAAGTTGAATCGAACTCTGAACTCATGGAACACGACTTATCCAACCAAACAGCCTAAGAACATTACCGGACCAAAACCCCCCAGGGGGGGTGGGGTGGGGTGGGGTGGTGTGGGCGGGGGAGGGGGGAAGGGAGGGAGGGATGAGGCACAATTTCTTTTTCGTCCTTGGAAGATAGAGAACTATATATATTATATATACTTGTATTCAGTCAACATGTCCACTACCGGGAAAATTATTTACAACGGTCTCTCTTCCTTCTCAACACTCATACAACACAGACCCGAATTGGAAAAATAGCGCACGAACAATTTAGCCAAACTGAGCGAAACCAACGTGTATCAGACAATCTCTCCTTCCTCCCCATCCTCGTACAGCATTGATTCATCATCGTCGTCGTCTCCTGAATATTCAGGCTTTACAAATAAACCTAACTGCTCCAAAGGTGATTGGGGATGTGATCCACAGAAACCCCCAGACCCGCGATTAAAGTTGAGAATAGGAGCAAATACGGATAACCCTGTAAATCTTCCAAGTTCCTCTAGGATCTTCAAGCTTGTATCAACCTCAACTGTTCGCTTCATCTGGACGAGAGATTATATTAAATTAAGACCACAAAGGCGAAAAAAGAGACCACATTCATGCAAGAACCCGTAAAAACTTTAAAACAAAGGTAAACCTTCTCAAGTGCAATTCGAGCTTCTTCTCTTTTTCTTTCCCGTTGCTGCTTCAACTCATTCTCAGCCCTCTTTCGTGTGGCAGCTTCAGCAGCTCTTATTTCAGCTTCGATCCTTGCTTTCTCTGCATTTATATAGTCAGCGTAAGACCGTCAATTATAGGTAGGTGGCAACAAGTTTAACAAGGAGATATTTTCTACGACTCATGTACTGTAGCATCTTAAAAAGAAGTAACCATATGATTATTACTAACTGAGATGCTAAAATGATTTTCCACACAGACGGATCATCTACTTAAAAGCGAGCACTTTCTCATTGCCTGCATTTGTGTAAAATAAAGAATCTCCCAACCCAGAATGATGCAGCCGAATAAAGGAAGAAACAAAACTAGCATTGCTAGAAAATCAAAACTAGATTCTTTTGGCAAAAAACAAGATATTTACCTTCACGCTGCTTCCTCTCCAATCTTGCCCTTTCCTGCTGCATCTTAAGTGGATCACTTCTGTCATCCTGGATATAAGGAGGAAACACTGGATAAGCAAACTCAAATGCTAAAAAACTATCAAATAACTTAATAAAGTGATAATGTTCTAACACAGCATCCAACAATCTCTACATGATCTTGCTAAAAAATGAAGCTTACATGATCTAGGAGTTTCTGCTGTTGAGCTTTCCAAATAGTGTCTGCAAAGCGGCTCTTTAGCATTGCAGCACGGAGAGCCCTTTTCGGTGACATTTGAACATCAAAATGAGAAGTGCTCCATCCTGAAAGAAATGAAAAAGATCACCAATTCAGTAAGTCCAAATATGCCAAGCTAAATAGTCAATGCTCAGACTTAAGTTTTGACATTGCTGGTGAATAAACTGACCTTCTCCAGAAGCAGAATCCGATACTGGAGTTGTAAGCCGAGGACTGCAACATATGTTTTCCCCATCCAAAGCACTTACATCCCCTTCATATTTGCAACATCAATCTGGATCAGATCACTAAAAATAACTAACTGGTTAAATATCCTAATATAACAAGATGCTGCGTCATCTCACCATCAGATTCTGGATCTGATTTGCTCGTCTGGGATGTTGACAAGCTTTTTGCTTGACAATCCTATAATTGAATAAAAAGCTCCAATTACTGCTAAAACATAAAAGTCCTGATGAAGAGTGTCAAGAATAACAGAAACATCGCCATGCATACCAGTCTGGATACATTAGAATTAGACAAACCATGCTCCCTGCCCACTGACCCTTCAGAAGATTTGTCTGAACCAAATGAATAAAGAAATAAATCCATTGTTCAACTAGATACTATATAGCAGCAAATGAAAAGATCATCTAACCACTTAAGGATGTAAGGGTTGAGTCACTAGAATGCCTGCATTGACATGCAATGTTTCCACATGAACCACATTTTAAGCAAACCAGGCTTGATGGCTGCTTTGCATTAATGCCTGAAGCTTGTTTATAGCCACTATCGGTGCTTGTATTTAAGTACTTTGATGACAATTTGGGCTTAGAATTCGGAGCTGTTTTAGAAAGCTCTGCCTACAAACAAAATATACATACATTACTCAGGTAGAAGAGGAAACTGCTCTTTAACAGCGTTAGTCAATAAATAATCTAAAAAATAAAAGTGTACACAGCATTCAAGCCACCATCTATTAGCTGACAGGCTTAAAACTCCAATTTTATTTGTTTTTGCAGCAATTCAGTATGCATTATTTTAAACATAAGAAAAACACAATTTCATGACTATCACTTACCTCAGCATCAGTTGCACCAACAGGGACTCTTACCTTCTCTTCGCATGGAATAGATCTCTTGACCACCAACCTATTTTGCAAGGGAGGAGTGTTGCAGGGATTCTGTCTCACACAAGTTAGTTTCTTAATTTGCCCACTCGAAGGTTTCCCAGATTCAACCTTTGAGCTTCCATGACTCAACTTCTCATCTAAAAGACCCCATCTCATCTCAAAAATCCTATTCAGGTTTTCTGCCATATGATGAAACGGATTTCCAGGAGGATTATAGAGCATGGCATTAGAAAAAGTCAGCCTGACATCGCCAGCAAAGGCTTCAGCATTGAAGTACAAATCTTTCTGCAGCTTTGATTTTACCGTGCCCAAATCCATGGGATGAGAGATGATGTGGAAGTAATCAGGGATTCTCAGCTTCACAGGATCAACTGGTTCATTGAAAGGCCAGCTTTCCTTGTTATTCATCAGTGTTTTGAGAATCGTTGAGCATTGCACCTTCACACTACGATCAATCTTCATCTTCTTCTCTTTCTGACCCTCAAGATCCCCCGAGGGTTCACGCTTCTTAGAACCCGGAAGTGAAGATTTTGACATTGAGCTGACCTCTGTGAGTGAGGCTAGGTGCCCATCGTCACGTGAGTGACTCCTAGAATAATTAGAATCAGCTTCTAATTTTTTCCCTGGATCAGCTTCAATTCTTTTGCAGGCAAATTTAATCTTCAGCTTGCTTGCTCGACAGCATGGTTTTAGTGGCAATCATTATAACGAATTGCGTGAACTCAAGATCAACAAAGCTGGAACTTCAAGTTCTTAGACAAAATTGTATGGCCTCCTAATACGCAATATCACTAGGAAGACCAGTGCCCTCTCACAATAAAGGCATGAAAATCACCACCCTGTGCAGTGAAAAACTGCAGAAAATCAGCCGCGAATAATTTTACGAATGTACAACAAGTGCACAACTTAATAGTAACTAATTATACAGTAAAATTTTAAAGAAAACAGAAACACCTATTATGTAGATAAACCCCTCCACTTTTTTCCAAAAACTTTCAATTGAAGTCTTCAAAATTATCGAATTCAATAACTATAATCAAGGATTGTACCAAATACTAAATAAAAGTAATTTACAGAACTTCAACATCAAATTAACCAAGCATCAAACCTAAGACAAATCTGTTGACTTCCAAACTACCCGAGTACGAAAAATCACGCCATTGACATAATAACGCAACTATGACCCAAATACAACTTAATTACCAAACCCCCCCAAAAACATAAAACACCAAAAACTCGCACGCAGATTAATCAAGCCGCCGAAAAAAGAAAAACCCAGAAACCAAAAGCAACAAGGAAGAAAACCCAAATCAAAACTACAACTAAAAACGTAAAGAAACATATCGGGAAATCATGAGGCCAGGGATCGAAGAAGAACTCACCGAAATCGAGTCGAAAGCAGAAAGCAAAACAACCGAGAGATCGTGCGCCGCGGCGCGAACGAGAGGGCTTTTCAGCCCCCTCGTGGATGCTGGGATACGATTCGGGACTAGGGTTTAAGAGTGGGAGATTGAAAGAAGGAGTGAGAAGGGGGGGAGAGAGAGTGATGTGAGGAATTAGGGCTTTTCTCTTTTCTCTCGATCTCTCAATACAGCTAGGATTTCTATTTTTTTTTTTAATTTTTTATTTTAAATACGCGTAGACTTGACTTGGGTTGGATGGGAATCATGGGATCTTTCTGCGCGGTATTTATTAGAATCCCCCTTGCCATTTGGTGAAATTACCTATTTACCATTGGACTTCCCTTGTTTCTCATGGGAGTAAGGATGGATTTTTTTTTTTGCCAAATTACCGTAACAATCGAATTGTCAATTGTACTATATTAATTTTGTGTTAATCGGTAATGGCATGATATTATACCGAACCAAATTTTTTTGGTAAAATATTGGTATTTGATACCATTATCATGGTATTACCATATCGTACCGAAAAATATAATAATATGTAACTATATATGTCTAATATTTCACTTTTTGCAGTTCAATGCCTCAATCTTTTACAAGTTCAATGCCTCCAAATACTTCTACATCTCAAGTTTGAAAATTTGATAAATGAATTTCACTTTGAAGTTTAGTTTCAATTTTCATTTGGTTTGAAACTTTAACTTTTATTTGAATTGTAAGCTTAATTTTCATCATGAATATTGATGCATCATTTGACTTAATATGTGTGTGAATTGTGAATGATGAATGATAGATAAATTTAGACTACAATGTATAAGATAAAAGTACAAAAAAAAAAAAATGCAGACCCAAAAAATGGCCCAAAACAAAGTGATAATTACTGTTGTCATACCATGCTAACCGAACTATTTGACAATACCGAACTTCAGTATACCGAAAGTTTGGTACAGTAATAGTAATAAATTTTATCAAACAAAAAATTTAGTATGGTAATTAATGCTACAATTTTGATACGGTAACCGTACCTAATCCACTCATAGGCCTGAGTTGAAGTTTCCTTTCTTCTCTTGGATTGGGAAATTGCAAAAGTAATTAACTTGTTCATATTTTCTTGTTAAATTTATTATCCTTCACTTCTTAAGAAAATTTCAATGGAGGTTGGAAGTTAAAATACGGAGATGATCTTACAAAACTTTTGTTGTCAAGTTTACGAGTATTTCTTTTCAATTTCTGAGTAACGCGACCAATTCAAAGGGAGGGGTTTTGAGTTCAGCTACCCTATGCGTCAACCTTACTATCCTAGATCAGAAAATTAACAGATGTTTTCTTTTTGTCCTTCAAAACGGATTTGGATCCTCTCCTGAGCTAATGAAGAAGATCCTCCTTGACCCATCATCTTGGACCATGAAGAAGATCCTCCTTGACCCATCATCTTAGACCGTTGGATAAAAATTCAACAATTATAATTATTATAACTTTAAAAGACTCCATGTTTGTCACCGTTGGATAAAAATCCAACGATTATAATTATTATAACTTTAAAAGAATCCTCTGTTTGTAACCGTTGGATAAAAATCCTACGATCCAAGATGATGGATCAGGAGGATCCTCTCCATTAGCTCAGGAGAAGATCCATATCCCTTCGAACCATCAACACGACAACATGTGTTTTCAAGTTTTCCCAAATGACGTCAAATGATTGATTTGGAACACAACAATTTCAGTATTCTCGTTTCATGCAAGTCTTCCACGTCAATAACATCTCAAACTCCCAATCAGAAAACCTTCACTGCTAACAAAATAAATTGAAACAGTAAAGCAACTGCTGGAAGGATGCAAATTGAAACGTAAAAATAAGATCAAAGGTGAAGGCTCCAAGTTTAACATAAATCTAACAAAAACTTGAAACAAAAAATTCTTCCATATTTGCTTAAAAGCTCCAACAACAAAAGTAACATAACAGTACAGCCAAAACAATGCATTTAAAACAGAGATGTTCCCTTCCCCTTCTTGTCTCCACCGATTTCAAAGTGCTTGCACCTCTGCAGAAAAAAACCAGTGCAACGTTAGACATTATCGAAAATCTAGAGTATAAACAAAACGAAGCAATTTGCGCATAACACTAACCTTGATTGGGTGCTGGGATACATGTTTGCATCCCTGGCACTGGAGCCTCAACACAATCTTCTTTGTAGTCTTTGCCTGTTTATCAATGTCAAAGTTAGCGATGCAACAAATTTAAATTCAAATAACCAGACGGTAGACAAATCAATATCCCAAAAGGACAACCACCAATGAATTAATCTGTTCGGGGCAGAATCAAATGTATACCTTCTTGTGAAAGACTGGCTTTGTCTGTCCACCATAACCAGACTGCTTGCGATCGTAACGACGCTTTCCCTGAGCAGCAAGACTATCCTTGCCCTTCTTGTATTGGGTGACCTTGTGCAAGGTGTGCTTCTTGCACTCCTTGCTCTTGCAGTAGGTCTTCTTAGTCTTGGGAACGTTCACCTGAAAATTTACAATACCGGTTAAGATCCATATGCCAACGAATCAAACCCAAAAGCAAAATAGAAATCGATTATGAAATCCGGTCAAAACCCAGATATATTATGCTTTCAAACAGATCAAACAGAAAATGAAATATGTAATCTTTTGAGCACACAGTTACCGTAAACTTTTAAAAGAAATCGAACAGAACAACGGAATAGATAACCGATTACAAATCTGATTAAAACCCAGTTACGTTAAGGTTTCAAACAAATCAAACACCAAAACAAAATTGAAAACAAACTAACAATCCAATGAAAACCCGGGTATAGTAATCATCATAAAAGATAAATTACTAACAAAACGGATTTATGCAATCTGATAAGAACCCAATTTGCAGTGTGAAGCATACGAACAAACTTACTAAACAATAGCAAAGCCCTAAACTATCAACGAAACCAGATTAAACCCATAAATTTAAACCGAAAATGAATCATTACAGCTCGTTTAAGCTAAGAAACCCAGAAAATATAATGAAATTGCTACAACCCCTTCCAATCAAATTCACGATTAAATTTCTCAGGAATTATGCATAAACAGATCCGAAACAAAAACTACGAGAACTAAGCTGTACGTATATCTGTGTTAGTGAAGAAGAAGAGTGAGAGAGAGAGAGAGATACCATGGTGGTTGCTGCGGCGTCGATACAGAAATGAGCAGCTGAAGTTTGTTACAAGAACCCTAGAGGGCTTCGGACTGGTTTGCGTTGGAATTTATACTTGATGGGATGGGCTTTTGTTCGGCTACAATTTTTCTCATGTTGGAAACGGGCTGGGCTGCCTTTAGTGTTTTATTAAATTGGGCTTTTAATGAAATGTTTGAACGGCTATCATGTATTATTACTAAAGTTCACAATTTTCTTATGTTAAGCCTTATTTGGTTTTAAAGTCCCCACTAATACTGCTGTCTGGTATTCTTCGAGATTTTATAAGTTTGATTTTCGTGAATGATGTGTCTTTGCTTTATAGCTGCTTAGACGTATTTGTTGGTACAAGGTTTTGTTGGTGTATAGTACAAAGCCCTCGATTCAATCCAAATTTTCTAATTGGAAAGCTAGTAGTTCTAGGCCTTAATTTTTCTTTTCTCGCTTAGCTAGTGAACGTTGTCTCACCACCCGCTCGCAATTTTTCAACTTGGATTTTTCTTGCTCATACAGGAAGGACTCGAAATATAAAGTAAGGGTGCTTGGATGCTTCATGCAAGCAACTTACTCGCTTGAACTTGATCGACTAGGAAACAGACATGGAGATGATGCTGTTGCTCCAAAATGGTGGCTGGGTTTTCAGTACAAGCTGGTCCAAACCTTGAAAGACGAAGAGGATCCATCTGCGAGCGGACTGTGTTAATGAGACCGGCTTTTGCACCGGCAGCTGTTTTAGTGCTTAGAGGACCAATCGTCAAACGCAAGGTTGTCTGTCTGTTCGTTATTCAGGGGAAAATATGGAGGCTTTGACGATCAACTTCGAAATGAACTTGGTCTTGTTGATTGGGATAACTAGAAGGGCACGGCAAGGTTAAATGTAGCTTTGGAGGCTTTGAATTCACTTGCACAAAAGTAAGGAGAACGTCTAGGTTCTAACATGCGTTGCCGGCAATTCTTTTGGAGCTGGGTTTGCTCTCCAATTGAGGATGGAATTAGCCAAACAAGAAATATACGTGGAACTCATGCATTCAATCCGCCATGTGTTTCGCTACCAAGACCAGCTGCGAGCTGCGTTGAGGAAACAAATCCTTTTCCTCCGATACAAATTTTATCAGGCCTCGATAATCTTGGTGTAGGTTTTGGACATGGGTGCCTAATATTTATTCAAACAAGAGTGACTCTTTGTGCTGCTCTCGTGCCCACCATTCTAAAGAAATAGAAGGAAGCAATGCCTGTCAGGAGAATGTGCATTTTCCAACACCTCTAATATTTGGCAAAGTGGGCGTGAGGATGTTTGAGACATCAGAGGAAAACCAGAAGTTTATGGCAGCTCACCGGTTAGCGCAGTGGTGGATGGATGATTTGGAACTTCAAACTTTCACCCCTGAGATCATCAGCAGGAAGTTGACACCGGTCGCCTTTGATCTCCAAAGTCTGAGTGACTCTAAAACAAAACTTTCTGCAAATTTGAGATGCTATTTTGTTTATTTTCATTAGGAGTTTGCTACTAAGGCCAAGAAGTTATATAGATGCAATGACGTAGACAAAATCAATGCCTTTTCGGCGATCCTACAAACCCGGAATGCAATCTTTCCTCTTGGCAGCTGAAAGAAGACATTTTTCACTTAATTTTACTGTGTTTGAGTATCAAGGATGCCAATACGTTCGTCAGGCGTACGAAACTATCAACGGTTCTCGAGGCATCTCCGGATATTTTGCTTTAGTAGGAGTATAGAGCCAACTGGACAAGCCCTAAAATTGTTCCAATACCATTTGGGATCTGCATCCAAAGTATCATTTGAAGTGGATCAACACAAGTTCCGAAATTCGGATTTAACATGTTAACATCTTGCTGCAGAAAACAGAACACTTACATAGAGGAAAGGGTCTTTCTTGAACACTCCCTATGCAGAGAAAGGGAGACTCATCAGAAACGTCGCAAGAGAAAGATTGAATGGCATGAACTCAACACTCTTTGTTTTGATCACCAGTTCATGAAAAAAGGTACACGCGAAACCATATGAGCGAGGATAAATTGCACTGTCCAAAACCTACAAGCGAGAAATTTTACGCGCAAACTTACTATGATAGACAGCAGCGAAGCAAACATTGAGATGAGTGAAGCAACACTCAAGTATTCGACAAACGTTTGCCTCTCATCGTAGTCTAAAAGTCCCAAGCTCACAAAGACAACGAACGCGAACACAACCACAACGGCTGCTATCAATCCTATCATCCTCAGCTGCAAAAGAATTAACATTTTCAAGAATACAGTCATGCAAAGTTGTAAAAGCGATTTGATGTCGATAAGAGCAGGTAGATTTGGGAGAAAAGATCACCTTAATCGCTCTTTCGGCATGTGTGATGAACATGCTTAAGTAGACTAACTGGAAAACCGCCCCGACTGAATTGACTGTAGCCACCAGTATAATACCAGTCTTGACTACAGGCATGCCATACCAGGAGCATATCAAGCAATTCAAAAGAGCATATATGTAAGGCAATCCAGAGAATTGTTCTGTTGACACAAACAACACAAAGGCAAAGACATTCCCTGCAGTTGACAAGGATAGGTGTTAGAAAGGAAAATAAATTTGGCAATCTGAGACATTCTTTTCCTTTTCTAGATGCATAGCCACGCATTGCGAGCTGATTTTTATGCATCTTTTTTAAAAAGGTGATATTCTAAATTAACTCTAATTTACAGGAAAAGAAGATTCGAACTCGGAAAGTAGCAGGCATATCACCCTGGTTAACTAGCCTAACCCCATATATGCATCTTAAGTATATGCATTTTCTTCACAAATCAACATTTCATAAACATTCAATCACCGCAACAGTATCTTATAAAGTCATTCAACAGACTTCATAGTTTTGCTTCCTCAAAAACATAAAATTATGAATTTACCCCTGCACCGAAGTCCCGATTTCAATTCCCCTTTCCTCCCACAACGCTTGTATAAAAAATGGAAGAAGTGTAGTATGGTGTTTAAATGAAGAAGTGTACCTGCAATGCCGGCTGCAGTACTCCAACCGAAATAAACAGAAGACAATCCAGTCGGCAACATCAATCTTTATGAATTATCAAAAACACTGCTCAGAAAATGTATGTCTACTCCACACAACACAGAAGCTCTTTCTCTCTCTTCTCCTTCTCTCTCTCCTCTTTATCTATCTTGTAACCTTGTATATTAATGGTCCAAAAGGGAAGGCTTTTTCTTAATGTATATACTACTACTTACAGAGGAACCCAGAGAACTTGCACCATCTATTATTTACTACCAACTTTTTGAGACTTTTTTAACGTGCCACGGAAGCTTTTGTTAAACTAAGGATATCAGATTATGTTAAACTTCTAAGTTCTAATTAAGCCAATATAGCGTTCCAAATGATGGGAAATTGGGAACCGTTAGTACTTCAAGTTAGCCAAATGCAACTATAATCCATACATTTATATACTGAACAAATGACATGGTATTTTCAAAAAACTTATGACAGTTCAACCATTCAAAAGAGCTATAATATTCAGTGTCATTCAAATTTAAGCGTCGAACCCTACAATAATTTATAGTCTAATAATTTTTCGCTCCCTTTTGACAAGAATAACAGAACTTAAGTGATAGACTTGATAGCCTCTACTCATGTCTTAACATCAATAGTCAATTAAAAACACTGGTTGCGACATCACATTGGTAGCCTTTACTCGTATCCTAGCTTGTATGAGAGCTAAATTTACCTTAATTATTTGTCTCTTGCCTTTAGCTTTCCTCAAATTAGTTTCTGCCATTTCAAGAGTTTGTTGAACTTCTTGTGGATCAATGTCTCTGTCCTTCTCTGCATCATTTACTAAAACAGTAATCTCATTATTGCCTGTTCTAGCAAAACCACTCATAAGAGCCATTGTTGACCATTGATCGTTAAGGCGTATTTTCAAATACCCATATCTACAGCTGTGGCAATAGAATCATAGATAAGTGATACAGGGAGGCCGGCAAATGCGATACCGCATACGACTTTGTGGGGTAGATAGACTTCAAGTGGACTCATCCCTCGCCTATACGTTGTATTGGTTATAATCACGTGTCATATAATATATATATATATATATATATATATAGGCGGAAGGATTCATGGTACCATATTTTTATACAATTTTTTCATATACGATTTTAGGGGTTCATTACATTATGTATTTCAGTGATTCAAGCAGTCTATCTTTTAAGTTTTCTCTCAAATATTATGTCTACCAAAATCATGCAAATTTAAAATCATATGACCGTTAGACCGTTAGATTAAGGGTTTAGGGTTTCTTTGTAAAACCCTATTCGTTCATTTCCTTCAATACAAATGAATGTCTTAATGATTTTGAATTTGTCTAATTTTTTGCAATAATGGTTTATGAATGATATTCTAAAAGATAAACTTCGAATCATATTATTAAAATAACATACAGATTAAAACCCACCAAAATTTGTATAAAAAAATAGTGTCACGAATTTATCCCATATTTTTATTCTCATCTCATCTTTTAAATTAATGAATATTCGGTCGAATATTGGAATATGCAGAAGGGTTTCCTATTGTCAATAATTTTGCATTTTTTGGTAGGTTAATTAATTCGATTGGGACAACAAACAATAGGATGGCTGTCTTGATCAACTTTTACTTTTTATAATTTTATACACAGCTCCAATCAGATTAAGTGTTAACACTACTTGAAACCTAATTATATGAAAAACAAAAGTGAACCTCAGAACCTCCCTCGTCCTCATGTTAATGGAGGCATATTCTCTATCCTTCCACTTTCCATGCCCTTCTGTGACCTCCTGTTTTATGTGGTCACGGTTAAACTACGTTAACATTTTATATTATTTTTTTATAGATATAATAAGATAAAAATGAATAGTAATATAAAATGTTGACATGGCTTAACCGTGACCACACAAATAGAAGGACACGAAAAGTGAAAGGGCAGAGAATCTGCTTCCCATGTTAATTGGTACCTCAACATATTTTTACGAGAGAAAAAGAGGGTGCTAGTTGTACTTTGTAACTAATTACAAGTAAGAATGGTTCGAAACCTCATGTGAAAGAAATGGGTATGCAAGTTGCGAAATTGGCCCTCAGGATGCGAGATTCATACTCTCAATACGCTTTTTACGTGTGACAAATTTTTAAGTCTTAATACAACCATAAAACCAATTGGCAAAGTCATTTATTTCTCCGAACTGAATTGGTCAAACCACTATGAAACTTGCGTTGTTCTGTGTTTGCTTTTGCTTGGTGTTTTGGTATTTTCTTTGTGGTTGGTTTGATTATTTGCTCATCATAGTTCATTAATAACAAAATCCACAAAGGCATTCGTACACCGTTCATATATATACATGTATCTAAGATTATAAACAAATCTAAACGGCTTGGAATGCAAGACAAGTCTACAAATAATACATCAGATTCACTCTTAGAATGCATGTAAGATACATTTACCTAATAGACCAGTGTTACACAAGATTTACTTTCCTGGTCTCTGTACATGACCTATTCTTACTAATGTCTCTCAAGGAGAACCCTCATTTTCCAGTTAGCTTCTAAGGAAATGCTACTTGGACAAAAAGGCGGTAACTTAAAGTATAAATTGAACAATATTTTACACCAAAAATAAAAGGATTTGCACAATTAAATAAGAAAACTTTCTTCAAAATCTGATACAGTTCTCTCACTGTAACATTTTATACACAACGACGTATAGTTTGAAGAAACTGATGACATTTCTCCAAAGTAAATTTTGTACCGAAGGCCATGCATTTCTCCAAAGGAAATTCGGTCACGGATATTCAGCTAGCAATGGTTCTTCTTCTTCTTCCGTGTCTTCTTTAGATGAATTGTTGTAGTGGCAGTACAGAATCAACTGTACAAGGGCTAAAAGTGTGCCAATACCATTTGGCATCTGCATCCAAAATTGAAGAAATAAACAAAATGTTATGTAATGCAAGTGTGATGCGGTTGATTGTGAAGGAGATTAAACCACTTTTTAGGATGCGATTTGGACCAAGAAATGAGAATGTTGAATAGGTGCTACGATGAGCGAGATTATATCTGTTGAAATTTTGGATTGAAGGAAACGTAGTACTTACATAGAGAAAAGGGTCCATCTTGAACACTCCGTATGTAGTGAATGAGAAACTCACTAAGAAAGTTGCAAAAGAAAGATTAAACGGCATGAACTCAACGCTTTTTGTTTTGATCACCAAATTCTGAAAAAGGTTCATGTGAAACCACATCAGTGAGAACAAATTCAACCGTCTAAGAGCAATCTGAGTGAGGATCATTCAACACAAACTTACAATGACAATCAATGGCGAACCATACATGAAAATTAGTGAAGCAATACTCAAGTATCCGACGAAGAATTGCCTTCCATTGTAGTCGAAACAACTTAAGCTGACAAAGACAATGGACGCAAATATAACAAAAACTGCAATTAACAATGCCAACATCCTTATCTGCAATAAACATTTTAAAGAACAACACATGGTCAGCAATGCAGAGTTGTAAAAGGCATTTTAATAAGAAGAGACAGGTGATTACCTTAATCGCTCTTTCGGCGTAAGAAATGAAAATGCTCAAGTAGACTAACTGGAAAACAGTCCCAACTGAATTGACTGTAGCCACCAGTATAATGCCACTCTTCACTATAGGCATTCCATACCAGCAACATATCAAGCAATTCATAAGGCCATATATGTAAGGCATTCCAGAAAATTGTTCTGTTGACCTGTTTCTGATAATTCTATTAAATGTTGACCTGCAATTAGAACATCAAAGATTCAACAATTAGTGGGGAAGTGTATAATTTTGCATATTAATTCTATGCGGGAAGCGAAGATTTTCATAAATCTCCATTTTTGGCAAAAATCTGTCGAGCAACTTACATTGGTGACAGATACAATCCGAAGGCAAAGAGATTCCCTGCAGTTACAGAGAATGATGTTAGAATGTTTCTTGCACATCTATTCTTATTTGTGAATAGCTTAAACTTTCCTGGGTGTAGCAATCCATATTTGATTCGTTAAGTTAACACGTTATCTGATTTGGATCGTGAACAGATTTTTATCAGATTGAGAAAACAAGTCCATATTCTAATAACTACATGGGATTCAGATCAACATCCGATTCATTGAAAGGTATACATATAAGGCATCTTAAACAGCATGTGAATATATCCTGCAATCTGAAATATCTGTGTTGTGCATAATATATGAATTTCTGTTCAGATTCCAAATATACAAAGCAAAAACCAGACAACATACGAACTTTTTACCTTAAACTAAGAATTCGATTAAGGTAAAGTTTTAGATCCAGAAGAATATAACATAAACTCATTCAAAAAGAATTCATAGCTGTGCTTTATGAAAAGCAGAAACCTGCATCTAACCAAAGCATATAATGGAAGAAGTACAACGAAACAGATTATATGGTGCAGAAACAAAGAAGGTTACCAAGAACGCCGGCGGCATCGGTGAAAGTTTGATAAACAGAAGACAGTTCAGTTGACAACATCGATCTATCAATTATCAATACCACCGCTTGTGTATATTCAGACTTTACAAACTACTACAATACCAAGGAAGCAGAAGCTCCCCCTCGTTTCTCTCTGTTTCTCTTTTGTAGCTTTGTACATTATGGTCCAAAAGGGAGGCTTTTATTAAGGGAGGCTTTTTATTAGTGTACTCAAAAGATCTGGGACCATGTGTTATTTTATTTACCACTGTTGAGAGTACTATCAACCAGATTTGTGTTGTCCCACGTGTGAAGTCTAATTGATACACGTATTCCACATCATTTGACTTGTGTTGTTTACGTGTTATGCTTGAAATTCGCCGCACATGAGAAGACATGTTGAGAGTATTAATCTTACATTGGAAAAATGAGGAACCTTGCATGTGCAGCATGCTTATAAACAGTTTGACTATTTTTCATATTGTCAATTAGTTTTACAGCGAAATTTCAACTTTCTTCAACCGCCAACCCTTTTGAGATTTTTTAATTCTTTACAAAAAAATTTCTTCAATAGCCAATAGGCCAGCACGCCCAAACGCCACAACAAAACCATGTAGCCACCAAAACAAGCCTAGTCATAACTAATAATCCAATTAATTACAAACATATAAAGTCCTCTCATCCAATTACATGTTAAACTTGTAAGTTTCTAAGCCAAGATGGAAGTTCAAATATGGTAAAGATAACAAGTTAGTATTCCAATTTAGGCCTTATAATAAGAGTACTTGAGCATCGGTAAGTAAGTTAATAAATGTTGACCACTCATTTGGATCACTCCACGACGTCATCTGATGATTCAAATCTTTAAGTTGCGTCATAAAAAAATTAACCAAATCATACAACATTTAGTCTTCTACCTATGATCAAACAAATAAACCAACACAATACTTCCAAATAATGATTTTTTTTTCACAAAAACAATCAATTGATGAAACGTTTTCAATTGCTATAGGTGTATAAAGCCTTGTAAAAGCTCACTTATTTGTTTAAGGAGAACCAGAAACTTCACGACTTAAAAAATTAACAATTCAGACAAACGCAAACAAATGAATAGTGCCGTATGAACTTTGCAACCGTAAAATTCTACTTCAAACTTTTCAACCTTTGGTTCTTTCACTACCCCTTGCTAGAACTTTCATCACTTTCAGGCAGCTGTTATATATATTCTGAATCTGTGACCGTATCAAATTGAGTATCGGATATAATATTGGAATGTGCGCAAGTGCCTTTTTGTGGTCGGGTAAATTGAGTAGGACAACAAGAAGCACATGGAATCTTGATCAAATTTTCTTGGCCAGTAGTATCATTACTAAATACACCTAAGAAAATGGGGCCCTCAAGACCTCCTTCGTCCTCTCGATTACTTGGTCAGTCCAGATATTTTAAAGTGAAAGAAAAAGACAGCTAAGAAAGTGCCCGACTCGTATTATTGATCAAAGTAGGGTCCAAGGGGGACCAAGTGGACTAAATATTGATCATGATTCATAATCATTTCAGGACCAATAATTAAGTTCAATGATTGCTTCTCTTTGCCATCTCCAATGCTTCCTTCTCTACGCAAAGACAGAAACGCCAAGTGACTCTCTGAACGTGAAATTTTTTATAGATTCATGTCACTTTATAATTTAGCATTATTTTTTATATCAATATTATATAAAATTTGTGTCAAAAACATAAAGCGACAGAGAATCCATACATAATTTTATTTTTTGAAAGTCTCTTTAGTCTTTCTCTTACAAAAATGATTAGAGTGTGTTTCAAGTGGTAGTTTCGTGCTAGTTTACTAGTCACGTATGTATTCTTCTTCCGGTCCTTCTTCCGGTCCTTCTTCTTAGTTCTTTAGACCATCTCCAACCGAAAGAGGATCAGATGGCTCGTTTTAGTCCTCTGGACCTTCAAGAAATTAATATTGTAATGAACAGTACAAGGTCATATTTTTTACCATCTCCAACCAAGGGCCAAAGAGCCATAGGACCAAACATATTTTATTATTTTAATTGAATTACTATGGTTAATTACCTCAATAATTTTATGTTACGGATTGTCAATAATTTTCATGTTTTTTAAAATGTTGTTTAAATTTCATGTTGTTAAATTTTTTTTATCCAGATTAATGTTACTTAATGTTATTTAATGTTGTTTCATGTTACTTAATGTTTTTTATCCTTTTTTTATCCGATTGGTTCTTTGGCCCTTTTTTGTCCAGTGGGGCCCACGAGCCCTTTGGCCTGGCCTTTGGTTAGAGACAGTTTTCGAGCTACTTTCAGTTCTTTAATCCTCTAGACTCTTCGGTTGGAGATGATCTTAGTCTTCTTGTTTCTTCTCCTTAAACTTAGTTTATTAAGAAACGTAGGCACGCGTTAATTCTGTACTCTTCTTCCTTCTTCTACAATTTCATTTTTTGCTTCTTCCTTATTCTTCGGGAATAAAAAATTACATTAGTTTTATTTAAAGCTAATGTTTCTTTAGATATATTATTAGATGTAATACATGACAAACTTTCCAACTTTATTTGGTTTTTCGTACTTTATACATGTGTATGTATGCGCACACGACCTAACCAAATGAAGTTGGACATGTATTACTAATCATATATCACATCGAATAGCATAAGTAAAGCTGTGTTCAAAAATTTAAAATGAAAGAAGAACTTGAGCTCGTAACTTTGTGAATACTCTTAACCAATTGAGTACGAGCATCTTTAATAATTTTAGAATTTATTGGCAAGTTGTGTTCGAAAAGTTTGTTATAATATTTAAGTTTAACTAGTGTTCGAATAGAAAGTAAGTTGAGATGTTTGCATTGCTTTACATGCTAAACCTTTTTTTTTTTTTTGTGAATTTGATGATTGTATTAAAAAAAAAAAAAAAAAAAGAAAGGATTACAATTAAGAGGGATAAAACTTAGCTCATGTTATAAGGATTAGTCGACCTAGATTCTACAATATCACCTGGACTATGGCTGTGTTAGAATAGGAATTTAAATATTGTATATTGATTGGGATTCCTTTCCTGAATGAGTTACTAGATTAATTATACAACTAATATATATATATATATATATATATGAATCCTTTAAGGGAAGGGTTTTTTATTTATTTTTAATGGGGATTAGTTGTGAGCTCACACCACATCAAATTTCAATAATCCAAACTGTTAATTTTTTAAGTTGCACCTCATAGACTATCATTGCAAAATATTAGCCAAATCAGAAACATTTAAGAACATCTAAATAAGTTCAAAGAAATTAACAAACATTTTGTTCTATAAGAAACAATGAAATTTTATCATGATAATTAATTAGGCAAATGATTTTGAATTGAATTGAATTGTTACAAGAACGATCTATGAATCGAGATGTACAAAATAAACGATTCGGATCATTAAAAGTAGATGTCGAGTGAGTCTCACAACTAATTCCTTTTATTTTTTTTTCAAAAAATGAAGATCCCTTTGCATAAGATATATATATAAAATAAGATTTGCAAGGAAACAAACATGTCACAAACAGTATACCTCATGTTGGAGCAGTTATGTTTTTATTTAAATATTTAAATATATTTATGTTTTGTTTTACTACCAATGTTAAATACATAACGTTTTGCTTTATTACCAATATTAAAAGTCAATTGATTTTGGCTTAAGGAGTTATGCAGTCAAACCGTTTCGTTTGTATTTCCGGTTTGAATTTGAATTATGTTTTGATTGTCCCGTTGTGGTTTTTATCTTTTGTCTGTTTTGGTTTCCTACATCATTGCACCACTAATAACTCCTTTGATTGCAGACCATTTTACACCCCCATAAACTCCCTTGGTTTCTTACGGTTTCACACCCTCCAACGTCTATTTTTTATATATATATTAGTCAGGCGAATGGTAGAAATGAGATATGAAAAGAAAAAAGTTTTACATATATTGATTTAAAAAGCAACATATCAGAAAGGTGTAAGTTCGAAGGTTCTTCCGGTGTGCAAGAAAGAATCTCATCAGAAGAAGGTTTTGGGCTGTTTTATCCTGGGGACAACGTGGTGTTTGTGAACTGCTTGCACACTTTGGGCAGAGCCGCGAAATGTCTTAAAGAGAGCGACTTAGTCCGCAACTCATCCCAAGAATCATTCACCATTCAAGGCTTCTAAATTTTGCCGGGTAATTTCGTTCCTTTCTATTTCAGTTTACAACAATTTTAAGACGAATTCAATCTGCCATGCATTATAAGGAAAACTCTACTACTCAAGAAAATCTTTTTGAAGAGCAACTGATTGCAATGATATCAGAAATCAACGTAGTTGATGGATCCAAGGGATGGTGGTTGGACATTGGCACTTCTCGCCATGTTTGCTACGATCGTTCCCTTTTCAAGACCTATTATATGGCTGATGGAAGGAAGGTGTTGTTAGGTGATTCACACTCAACTGATGTTGCTGGTACTGGAGAGGTGGAGTTGAAATTCACCTCTGGAAAAACCATGATATTGAAAGATGTGATGCACGCTCCAGCGATAAGGAAGAATCTGGTCTCGAACTTTCTTCTCAACAAGGCTGGATTCACTCAAATGTTTGGAGCAGATACGTATACTCTTACTAAAAATGGGGTTTTTGTGGGAAAAGGATATGCTACTGATGGAATGTTTAAATTGAATGTTGATAAAATGTCTACTTCTGCTTACATGTTGTCTTCTTTTAATACTTGGCATGCTAGACTTTGTCATGTTAACAAACGCTTGGTTAAGACCATGAGTAACTTAGGCTTTTTACCCAACTTATCATTGAATGATTTTGAAAAATGTGAATTTTGCAGTCAAGCTAAAATCACTAGAACTTCACATAAATCTGTCAATAGAGAATCTGAACCACTTGACTTAATTCATTATGATATATGCGAATTTGATATAAGTTAACTAGAAATGGAAAACGTTATTTTATTACCTTTATTGATGATTGTTCGAATTACTATTTTGTCGATCTTATGAAAAATAAAAGTGAACCTATTGACATGTTCAAAACATTCTTGACTGAAGTTGAAAATCAATTTAATCGTAAGGTTAAAAGATTTCGTAGTGATAGAGAACAAGAATATGAATCCATTGAATTTGTTAATTTGTTTAAGTCTCATGGAATTATTCATGAAACGACTGCCCCTTATTCTCCTGAAATGAATGGTAAAGCAGAAAGAAAAAATCGAACTCTTTGTGAATTGACTGTCGCTACTTTACTTAGTTCTGGAGCTGCCTTCTTACTGGTGGGGTGAAATTGTGTTGACTGTTTGTTATGTGTTAAATAGAATTCCTAATTCAAAAACGAATATTTCTCCTTATGAAATTTGGAAAAATAAGAAACCAAATGTGTTGTATTTCAGAACTTCGGGTTGTTTAGCTTATGTTCGTAAACCTGATCCAAAAAGATCGAAATTGGCTAGTATAACATATGAATGTGTTTTTATTGGTTATGCATGTAATAGCAAAGCATATAGATTTTATGATTCGAAAAATTATGTCATAATTGAGTCACTTGATGCTGATTTTTATGAGAATAAATTTCCTTTTAATCTTCGAAATAGTGGGGGTTCTAATTCTTCTAAAATTTATGAACCTACTGTTGTAGAACATAGCGAATCTGCTTTAGCACCGAGGAAAAGTAAAAGAGCTCGAATAGCTAAAGATTTTGGTCCTGATTTTCATGTATATAACTTACAAGAAGATCCTAATACAATTCAAGAAGCTTTGACTTCTTTAGATGCAGATTTGTGGCGAGAAGCTATAAATGATGAAATGGACTCCCTGGAGTCAAATCAAACTTGGCACTTGGTGGATCTTCCACCTGGTTGCAAAACAATAGGTTGCAAATGGATTCTTAAAAGAAAATTAAAACCTGATGGTTCTGTTGAAAAATTTAAAGCCCGACTTGTTGCCAAAGGTTATAGACAAAGAGAAAATATTGATTTCTTTGATACTTTTTCACCTATGACTAGAATAACTTCTATTCGTGTATTGTTTGCTTTAGCTTCTATTCATGATCTTGTTGTGCACCAAATGGATGTTAAAACAGCTTTCTTAAATGGTGAATTAGAGGAAGAAATATGTATGGATCAACCAGAGGGTTTAATTATTCCAAGACAAGAAAATAAAGTTTGCAAGTTAGATAAGTCACTTTATGGATTGAAACAAGCTCCTATACAATGGCATGCAAAATTTGATAGTTTGGTTACTTCGAATGGTTTTAAAATAAATGAAAGTGACAAATCCATCTATTATAAGTCTGAAAATAATATATACACTATAATATGCCTATATGCGGATGATCTGCTTATTTTTGGTTCGAATATTCATGTTGTGAATAATGTCAAAACTTTGTTATATGCTAATTTTGATATGAAAGACTTGGGTGAAGCTAGTGTAATACTTGGTTTGAAAATAACTAGGTCTGAACATGGGTTTTCTTTAGATCAATCTCACTACATAGAAAAATTTTTAAGAAAGTTTAATTATTTTGATTGTAAACCAGTATGTACTCCTTATGATCCTAGTGTAAAATTGTTCAAGAACACTGGTGACAG